TTGATCATCTTGGCGCTAAGAACTTGCTGGGTGAAGAGGGAGTGGAGGGGGTAGAGTTGGAATGGTAACTGGCGTAGTGTTCATCATACCTTCATAAGAATGGCAGGCAGGCAGGCAAAAGTTGGCAAGGGAAATTTAATTATTATATTTTTTGTTTTAATCAAGAGTTGGGAAGAAAGGAAAAGATAAAAAGAAAAAAAATGAATTTTATTGCTTTTTAGTGTTTCATTTTTTTTTTAATTTGGGCTTTTGATTTGTCTCATATTGCAAAGACACCTTAGTCTTTTTTATGGCTTTATAGTCTTTTTAAACTGATTAGAAGAAATTATTAAAATCTATTAATAAAAATATCAAATGATAAAGTAGATAATCATTTTCCAGCTTATTTTTAAACAATATTTATAATGACCATTTGATAAAATTTGTATAGGAGTGTTAAAATATCAAGCAATAAAGTTTATAATGTTACATAAATCAAAACTTTAGAACCTTATTAATGTATTGATTAAAATGAATAATTCTGGTAAATAGGAAATTATAATAAAAGTTGGTGAAAATTTCAAATAAGGTGTTTTGCAATATGAAGTCAAGAGATTAAAGAAAATCACAATTTTTAAATAAAATAGTAAAACTTCACTCAAGGAAATCATATAAAAAAAATAATAATATAAGAAACATTAGTAAACATTTGTTTTATACAGTTTTAATGAAAAAGAAAATCAAGTTTTCTATTTGATTGTAACAGGTTTTATAATTGCATGTAAACTTTTATGTTTTATTTTTTCTTCTTCAAGTGAGGACATAGAAACAAATATTTTAGAATTTGTAAATTTCAATCTAATGCTTTACAACTGAGACAGCAGAAGAAAGTATTATATATATATATATATATATATATATATATATATATATATATATATATAAATATTAGAAAAATTTGTTTTCATCAAGATATTTTATGTCAACATTGCAATAGAAAATTACATAACATTAACAAACTAGAAAAAAAGTTAGTTCAGATGGTGATATTTTTTTTTTATTAATAGGGGACTTTAGAAATAAAAAGAATTTTGTCTTACATTCATTAAAAAGTATTGGAAACATATTTAGAGTTTGAGAGATGCAAGTTTCAATTTGTTTAACAAGTTTGGAACTACAGAGAGAGAGAGAGAGAAAGAGATGCATGAAAAATATTGAAACTGAAAAAAGATTAGCATTCTTTTCTATCCTAACAGCTAGGTTTAAGGCTATAATACTGAAATATATGTAAATTACTGTTATATAAAGTAGGATTTATATAATGCAAATGAAATACAATCATAACAGGCATGTAGCAGAGGTTGTTATGCACTAATAAAATACTAAAATTAGAAAAGACAAACTCAGAGCTTATTTGATTCATAGACAGATTGAGTAATTTTTAGAAAATGGTTGCAAAGTTTTTTTTTTTACTGTTGAAAGCAACTTTAGTTTTATTAAAAACAGGCCCTTATATTAAACAGGCCCTAATATTAAAGTCATTTAAAGAAAAATTATTCTATTCAAGCAAAGTATCAGAAACTCCCAATGACTTCTATTGAGTCAATTGTGCATTGATTCAGTGGTTCAGAACCAGGGGCAATCAAATATGCTGAAATTTTCTTAAGATTTCTTCATGAGCATGATAAAAACTCATGATATATGCTGACAATGTGGCACTAAGTCACATTGAGAAGTGGGAAATCAAACAGTGAAAGAGATAAATGAAAAAAAAAGTCTATTTTACTTGATTTTTGATTATATTACATCAAGATAAAAAAAATGGCATTGATATTTTCATTATGATGGTGTGAATCAACTTCTATCTTAAAGTATCTAGGAGAATGTCAAGACTAAACACACTGTTAAGACAAAACAAATAAACTTAGTTTTTGTTTCATTTTCTTCTACTTCATCATTATCTGTAATGTTAAAATAAGTATAAAACAAAATACTTTTATCAAAAATAGTTAATCCTCAAAGACATTTTAGACTGAACATCAGAAAATGCAAATTGATTTTGTAAAGCAAAATACAAGATGCATTCTGGGATATGTTTAAAGTATTTAGGTAGTTGCTAAAGACAAATAGGAGATTTACTAAACAAAGGAACAAACTGACAATGGCTTACAAAATTACCTTGCTATCATTTTATGGTAGTAGATATTTATATTAAAAAAAATAAAATATTGAATTGGGTTCATATCGTACATAATGTAATATAGGTAAATAGTTTTATATTGACATTTTATTTTGTTGGAGTTTCAAAGAAATAATTGTAGTTTGTAGGTTATTTTCTGCAGTTTTAGTCTGCTTAATTTACAAAAAAATAGTAGTTTAAAATTAAAGATCATTATTACAATTATTAAAATTATAATAATTAAAATAGTATCAATCTAATAATCTAATATATAAATAAAATAATAATTATAGTAAAAAAAACTGTATAAAACAAATACATGCCGGATTCTGAGAAATTTAAAATGTTCTTATATATAGACATGCAAAAAAAACATACAAGTAAGCAAACATCAAATATTTAATTAGAAAATTAATTTTAAAATTAATTTTCATAATAACTGATAAAAAACACTGATTTAACTTTGACATTTCTAAGTGTTTAATAACTTATTTGTAAACATATATTTACTGAAGATCAGTTTTACTTAATTATAAAATATTTAACATTCAAGTTTTGTACGCTAAATAAAACCTTTTTAAAAGCAAAGAAATCCTCCCCAGAGAGAATTAGGTTGTCTCAATCAAGTCACATCAATTATCTTAACTGCTCAGACATCTTGGCTAAGAGACGGCAATGTTTGGTAATTATTTGGCATCAGTTTGACAAGATACGCTTTTAAAGAGATTTTTTATTTTGTTTTTATGGGTTGTACAAATAAATGTATTATTTTGATAAAATTAAAAATAAAACAAATTGTTATGAAAAAAAAAAAATAAAGTAGATGAAAAATTACCATGAAAGCTATTATTTATTTTTTACTTATCCAGCATTCAATAAAATGCTCATAAATACCTCTTTCTCTTCCAATTATGTATATAAAGTGTCTTATTGTATAGTAAATTAGAAATCCAATTATTACTATATGAATTAATAAAGAAACTTTGACCAACAAATAATATTTGTTCATATGGTGTGCTTAGTTTTTTGCCTCATTAACATTGTGTGATTGCCTTATGTTTGTTAGACTAACCCCAAAAGACAATGTTACTGAATATCTTATAAGGCCACTCACTAGAAATTTCATTTATTTCCTCAAATATTACTTAGCCAACTTTTTTAAAAAGCAATTCACAGAGTAACCTGATGATCATCAGATCCTCTCTAGAATTTTATTTTTGAGTTGTTACTATTGAACATACATTAACAATAGTTTATTATTACCAGTTGAATTTCAGTCAAAGCTAAAGAGCACTGACAACGTTGCTTCTGAATTGTGCTTCATAAATAAAAACAAGAATGTCAATTGTGAAATATCTAATGAAATCACTGAACCATTTCAATAGAAGTGGAAAAGCTCATTGTTGTTCATCTTATCTGGTTTTAGAGAAAAGCTGCATGCTTGGTCAGTAACCATTGTTAGGTTTTTGTTTACATTGCCATGCTCTATTGGGATATCTGGGGGCCTTGGATTTGAAAATGCATGCAACATGCAATATTGGGTTTATTATTTGAATTATGACAAGGATCAAGATTGTATAACATTTCATCCCATTTTTCTCTCAGTAATAACATTTTTGTTTGTTCATTATTTGAAATACAATCCCCAAAGGCTAATTAAAAAGACATTATATAGAAAAAAACATTAAATAAAATAACACTGAAAGTGGAAGAGAAAGTAATAAACATTACACGCGGATTTACTGCATATACTGATTTTTAGAAACCATAATTAACTTATTTTCAATAACATGGTGAAGTTCTGTCATATTTCATAACAGCATTGCACAAAATGAATAAATTGCAAATTATATATATATATAATATAAATACATACATAGAAATATGTAAACAATTGGAATATCCCAAAATTTTATTTCATTGATTTTGTATAATTGGAAATCTATCCTTGTCTTTTCTCTTCTCCCCAAAGCTACCTACACCAAGTAAATTTTATTAATATTAAAGATTTAATGTTTTTTTTTAGAAGAAATAAGGCATTAACATTTGAATCACAGACCAATAAAAGTCAAAGATATATTATTTTTCATAGGTTTATAGCTTGCAGGGTTTCTTAATGCCTTCATGTCTTAAGCATTTTATTTTAAGAACCTGGCAAAAAATAAATAACAGAAACAGTGCATGGATTTCTTAAATTAAGGATTGTCATTATTATTAATTCTCAATTAATTTTTTATTTGATTTTTTTGTTAAATTTTATCACAAATTTCAAACTGGTATACTATGGCCATCAAATAAAGAGCTTAGATTAAAAATAAAAATATAAGCTGCCAAGGAAAAGTGAACACTCACTTATCCTTAGAGACAAGTCACTATGTGACAGCACTGTTACCAGATTGGCTACAGAGACTTTACTGGTAGATATCATTCAAGTAAGCCATATTATTTATTTCTCTGATCTTGTTTGTTTATGTATATTAGTAGTAGATGCAGTGTGTGATTTATGGCATTTATTTAATAATTGTAGAATAATGATTGCAACAGTTGTAATAAAAAAAATCAGGAGAATTAAAGTGAAAGAAAGCAAAGTCAAAACTTAATAATTATACATAATACAAATGTTAGGTTAAAAGCAGTTAAAGACTTCTCAAGAATGACACAGCAGACAAATACCTATATTATAAATATGCGGTCATTATGTGACTGCTAGTGATACTATTGAAATGTTATTACTTTTTCAACTAGTTCACATTAACTGAAATAAAATCATATTTTAAAATTTTGGATATTCTATAAAGTTTTATTAACACATAAGAGAATAATGTTAGGTAGAAATACTTACAATTTTACTTGCTCAGGCACATAAACATGTTCCATTGGAACCACTTTTGTCAACTCTTCCAGTGTTTTTACATAGCGCAGTTTGGAATAGAATTTTGAACTGAAAATAACAAAAGGGAAGAAATAACTGATAAAGTATTAGAAGACTTTTACAATGTAGAAATTTTAATTTGAGTATTTAGAATAAATACCTTGGTAGAATGTCTCAGGATTTGAATGCTTCCCCAAAATCTCATTATCATCTATGGATAGGCACATAATGTCACCTTAGGAAAACTGAATACTCTCATCAGTAACTCATTAAATATTAATAAGCAGCAGACATAACCAATTGTTAAGAAGACAAGGCTGTGGAAACATACTAAAAACAACACCTAATTTTTATTGTTGGCGTGACATGCTGGTAAACACCTTTACCTGAAGATAATTTTGTATTACTAATCAAGATACAGAAAATTTCAATTGTTCTTTTGGGCACTACTTAAATAGAATGGTCCACTCATAAAAAATAGGTAAAAGTTTTATTTGAAATAATATTTTTAGATTAGCATTTTTGAGACATTCCTTAGGTTGCAACACTTGTCAGAATCAAAAAAATATTGATTAATTATGTATTTAGAAGTCAGGTCCTGTTCATAATAGCCACATGTAGTGAAGTCAATTGATGTAGTGAAGTCAATTGATGTAGTGAAGTCAATTGATGTAGTGAAGTCAATTGATGTAGTGAAGTCAATTGATGTAGTGAAGTCAATTGATGTAGTGAATCTTCTTAACCAGTTAAGCACCAACAACTGTTTCTTTATAAATGACATATTTGAAAATGTGCTTATAACATTAGCATCTGCATAGTATATGCATATATCGAGGGAGAGGGAGAGAAGGAGTGAAATGACAAAAATTTTTTGTCAAAATAGCAAACGACTCTATACATTTCATTTTCATGTGTTTTATTTTAAGAAAACATCTTAAGCAATAAGAACTGTCTGGCAAAATAGATTTTTTAAATCCTTTTTATAAAGATTTGCCATAAAAGAACAAACATACATTTTTAGTCAAAGGACAAATTCTTCCAAAAAATGCTCTTGCTTTTCTTTCAAAGGGACACATTTATTAACTATTTCTAAAGAGTAGTTAATAAATTTTCAAATTTACATAAATTAATAAAAGTTTATATAAGTTTATTCATCATTTAGGATAAATAATTAAAATAATAATTATTAAAATAAATAATAATTAGTATACACTAATGTTTGTGCTTCTAGAAACAACCCCCACCAGATGCCTTAAAAAAAGTTTAAAGAAATTTTAAAAAGAAAAAATATTTTTAAAGATTCTTAAAAACAAAAAACATGTTGTTGACATTAGCACAGTATCAAACATGACATCTGTAAACAAGGTTATTGGAGCTTAACTGGTTAAGAAGTCAGGGATAGATTTTACACTGTACCACTACTATGAACAGGACCCCCACTTTTAAATCAGTAAAAAAAAAACATAAATCAAGTGGACCAGTCTATTTAAGTAGTGTCTGCTTTTGATGCTGTATAGACAAGAATCTGACAGGAAGTTTATAAAATTCCCAAGATATGCATCAAAAGTGAATTATAGTGAATTCTTATGACCATAAGAAACAAACACACATTCCTCTGCTCTTCTTGTATTAACTATCAGTCTTTATTATTTCACTTGTGGACAAAACTACCATTTTCTGCATCAAGATCATTGCTACAAAGAGGATAATTATGAGCAAGGAAGAGTTTAACACTAATATCAAGCAAAATAACTTCTACTGGAATTGTGTTGTATTTTTTTTTTTTTTTGGTCAACAAATTCATATAATAAACTTGTCCTAGTCTTAGAGAGGACTATATTTTTTAAACTTTGTGAACTGACACTACAGAATCACAAACAAAGAACTGTACCAACTAAGAGCCAAAGGCTCAAAATGGTGTACTGTTGTCATATTTGTGGTGGAAGCTGCCCAGTCCTAACTTTCTAGTTTCAATAGAGTTTAAAAGCATCTCTGAGTCCTTGTTGAAGAATTATTTTCTATACTCCAACTGCTCTCTCACAGGTGGGATGTGGCAAGTCTTTCACTGCTCTATTGCTACTACCATGGAAAGTGCTTGGACGAATTACATTCCTTAGTTCCACCAGGTCTAACCTTCATGGCTAGGACCTGCCATACCACTTACGTAATAGCAAACCACTCAAATTCCTTTTGTATTTCATTGTAACTTAATCCTCTATCTTGATTGGCTCCCAGGCCTTGTATCGTGTAAACCTTACTGTAAAAAATTAAATAAATAAATAAAAATAAAAGAAACCACCATCAATTGAGGGTTTTAAACACTGGCAAAAGCTAAAATGGATGGCATATGTAACTCAAAGAGAAAAAAATGACATAATTGAGATGTTGATGTTCCACATTACTTTGAATGAAAGGTTAGAAAGGAAACCCTAATCAATATTGGAAATAGCAATAACAGCAGACTTGAAGAATTTATATTCCTGAAAGATTTTATAAATTTCAACTTGCTATTCGGTTAATGATTGATGAATGTGTCGACATAAGTAAATGGCTGATATTACCATTACCAGTTGTTGCCTTTTAAGAATCTAGAGAGAAAGGCCAAAGAATGTCTTTTTACTTGTTTTTGTTTAACAGAGAGTAATTTGGGAAATAAAGGCTGTGAAACTAAAAAGTCAACTAATAATTTATTGCTATTTTTTCTTTGTAACTTTTGAAGTCATCTCAGTAAACAGTCCTTGGACTCTGAAACTGTTCAGTTTTCAAGGAATTAAATGCTTATCTATACTCACCTGATAAACGGTCTTGTCATCATGACAATTGTCTTCAACCATAAGGTGGGATGTACTAACAATAGTGCCTTCAGATTTTTCTTTAATCTACAAGTTACAAGAGAAGAAAAAAATACTAATAACAAAGAACATGCTTTTTATTTAAGATGAAAACAGTTTAACTTATTGTACTTGATAACTTGCAATGGTGAAAATAAAGAAATATATCTCATGTACCCTATTCAACCAAATTAGTTTCTAATTATATACAGAAGAAAAGCGTCAGATTAATTAAAATTTTAATATTTCCGCTCAAAAAGTGAAAATGATTCCAGTTAATTACTATGCAGACATATTTCTTCTTTTCTATATGCCATGTCCCTTTAGGACATAGACAATTGTGGAGAGCCATGATTGCCTATCTCATGTGACACTTAACAGTTTTTCTCCTTTTGCTAAGCCACCCCCCACCGCCCTCATTCCACCATCCATTCACACAAGCTTGTCAGGTAAGTGGCTTGCTGCCTTCTCCTATATCTCTTGCCTTCAATATGCTATGTGAGTTTTTCTGAGCCCTCCTCCCTCATTATGTGTCCAAGAAATGTCAGCTGACTTTTTTTGATTCTAAGTGTTCTTTTTATTGTCATTTTCTTTAAGACTTCCTTGTTGCTTAAGTGCTCGGACGATGGAATTCTCCGTATCCTTCTGTAGAACATTTCTGCTGTTTCTAGGTATTTCCTGATCCATAGAGAAATTGTCCATCATTTACTGCCATATACTATTTTCTTTGTTTCTAATGAACATTTCTGTTATGGTCCCATCAAGCCCTGCTGCTTTGTTCATCTTTCTCCAGTGATGATCTTACTTCATCTTTTTACTATTTCTGGTCCTTATGCATTTTCCAGTGTAGTTTTCTCTTTTGAATTGTAAAAATGTGCTTTAACATATTCGTTCCTCCTTTGGAGTATTTTTTCCTTTTTTTTTTTTATTATCAGTGATCTTTTATAGAAAGCCTGCTCTGTTAAATCTGTTGTGCATACTTTTGCTCTGTTTGTGCTGATCATTCTCTCTAGTTCTGTGCACTTTTCATTGATCCATTCCTCTTAAGCCTGCCTATATTTGTTTTTAATTTCTGTGTTTAGTGTTTGGTATTCTTTTCCATTCCTTTGCATTGTTTTTTGCTGCTTTTTTATTATCTCTAGAATTTATTGTCATCCTTTCATTCCTTTCTTGTCTACTTTTTTTTTTTTTAAATGATCTTGTTTGTTGATGTCACTAGTGTTTCTCCCAAGAGGTCCCATGTTGATTTTGTATTCTTGCTCAGGTTGCATTTGTTTATAACTGTTTTTGTATGTCTCCTTGCAACTTGGGTCATTCAGGAGTCTGACATGTTGCAGTTTAGGGGTTGCTTTGGTCTTTAATTTCTGTAATTTTAGTCTGATGTAGTACAAAATAAAATAAGTTCTTTTATAATCATTTCTTATCTTGCATTTCTTGCGTATGGAACTCTCTTCTGATTTCTTGCTTCCCTGACACCTTTGATCTTCAAAAATTTAAATCCAATGTCACTTGCAATCTTCTATCTTCCTTTTATTGTCCTTTCTCATCACTAAAGTCTTTTCATTTTCTTTCACTTTCAGTAACCCCTTGTGCCTTAGTGGCATTATTGCCTTGCTTGCGGTAAAATGATTAAATATGAATGCAGTAAAATGACAAAGGAAACTCTCTGACGTGTTAATGAATGATGCAGGCATAGCATTGAAATGTTTTCTGAAAAAGAAGACATTTTGAAAAGCACATATAACAATTAAATAACTAGTAAATAAATTTCCATGTGTAATTATACTTTTTATAAATTATTGCTATGGTGCGCAACTTTTGCCTCACCCTGTATATTACTCTGATTGTCTGTAAAAAATACTTTTTCTCAACAATGTCATTAAGAAAGCCATTATTACTAAGTGTTTGTTTAATATTAGATAATTCTTTATGAACATTTGTTTTAAGAGAAGAAATTAAATTAGCATGATTAAAAGATTTTTATGACAGTTATATCAATAAGAGCATTCAATTTGATAGTTAAGGAAGCAGGAGTTAATAAGAAAAAGGGTCAGTTATGTCCGTTGAAGTAATAAATTCTGATTACTGAAATCAATAAAAATATCAAAAAAATTTTTTATCAGTGCCGAGTTCATATGTAAAACAAAGTCTGGAATTTCAAAAGTTATATTTTTTATCTGATCAAGATTTCTTGCAAGAAAGAATATGTCATCATTGTATTAAACATATAGATGGGTTTGTCTTTGCTTTCAAAGAAGGCCATATAATAATAATTTGAAAAAGGAGACTCAATTGTCTCTGTCTGTTGTCTTTAACAGAACAAGCTTAAATGAAAGATTGTTGCTTTTATATGTGTGTGTGTGTGTGTGTGTATGTATGTATGTATATATATATATAGATAGATAATGATAATATTAGTGATTAATATACACATACATATGGAATCATATATCTAAACTATATAAATATATATACATATATATATATATGTATAAAAAATAATTCCAAGAGGATAGAATCCAGGTAAAACTCAATGTCCAGGACAGAGTAAGGATATAATAAAAAGGCTTAAACACTAATATTCCATGGTCATAATTTATTCCATTGGAATCGTAAATATGATCCAATTCATCAGACCTACAAATTCAAATATATATATATATATATATATATATATATATATATGGTTGGATAGATGTTAGCTCTATCTCTGATATTGAGCGCTTTCTAATACATTTACGCATATAATATATAAATAATTATACATATATATATTTATTTATATTTATATACACTTTTCATATATATATATATATATATATATATATATATTTAAAGACATTTTATGTTTATACATTCTTTTTTTTATATATATATATATAATTAGAGACAAGGATAAGCAGCTTCCAAAAAGCCTGCCTAAGATTGCACACTGGAAAAAAAGAATGCTGAATGCCATAAAAAATAGCAGAACTTTAATATATTTCAAGTCAAAATATCTCAAAATATCAGGTAGGGAGTGACCGACCATGACTGCCAGTTTCATGCGCTTTCACACAATCATCAGACGATCAGTTTATGATTGTGTCAAAGCACATGAAAGTGGCAGTCATGATCAGTCACTGCCCACATGAGATTTGACTTTTATATATTTTGGGCACATGGCTGAGAGGTTAGAACGTTTGCATTCTGACGATAAGACCCAGGTTCGAATCTCAACATAGTCAATTTGTCAGGAAGGTGACTTCCTGATGTTATCAAGACTGGATTGAGGTTGATCCCAGTGTGTGGCACCTTTGGAAGGTGCCTGAAAATCATACCGTAGGTTAATTCAAGCCTAGTGAGTGAAATTGAAATTGGGTACCATTGATAGCTGTGCTAGCACAAAGTCACAAGTTATCATGGCCAAGGACATGAGCATGCTGGCCTTGTTCAAACTGTTGATCCCACTAGATAACATGCTCTTTCCTAGAAACAAACTATGATCTGGTCAGCATAGTTGCAGTATAACCCACAGGTGGGCTCTGTGGGTGTTGAATAAACACAAATACGCCTGAGGAAGCATCTGCAATAGGGGATTGGCTAGCTGGCCTAGTAGACAGCTATCCTCAAATACAAGTGGCCAGCTATATATATATATATATATATATATATATAAAAGATCTAATTTTCAGGTAATCATGTAAAAATTAGGTTAACATATCAAATTGTTTCAACCTTTATGACTTTAACTTCCAAAGAAGAAAACATTTTTAATCAAAATTGAAGTTATCCAACATGACATACAATGAATCTGACCTGGTTTTCAAACAAAATAACTTTAATTTAAAATGTCACATTTTTCTTATAAATCTGAGATTTCTTTTTTTTATAAAGCAAAGTTCTTTTTGTTTTTTTTTCTTAATAATGAAAGCAGATTCATAACTGGGACATGGATCTGCTATTATAGAGAACTTCTTATAGTGAAAATGAAAGTTTAAAAAAGTAAGATGAGGTGAGGAAGTCTGTTCATGGGTATAGTATGTTGGGGGATGAAAGTGCATTAAAGTGAAAAGGCAAAATCTGGTATTACCGGTGATCAATCATTTGGTAGCAGCGTTTAAGCCAACTAAAACCGGGCATCTGACGGCGGGGTGTAGCTCCGTGGAAGAATACTATCATATAATCTTCAGCTACAAGCTGTTCTAGTGTGCTAGTTACATATCTGAAATGATAGAAAACAGTAATATGTCACAAAGATTATTAAAATAATAACATGTATTTCAATTATCTTATAAACTATTTATCATAAATGATAGAATATTATTTGTCAACACACGATATGCAGCACGATATTTTTGTTGAGACATATTAGTGGGCATGCATTTATTTCACCAAGATAATGGTAGCATTCTGTTTGGTCAAAATTCAGTCTTTTTGTGCTCTCACTGGGTGATAAAACTGGAGTAACCTCTCCAGAGTGCAGGCATGGGCAATAGCCGTATGCTGATGGCTGTATGCTGTCCAGACCATATGGCCCCCATCTTGGCCATACTGATAAGATCCAATGGAATACAATTGGGGCCAGCTTGACTACAGAGGTTGCCAGAAGGTTGTTAGTATTGACAGCCATTCTCCTTTGGGACTTCACTCTCAGATTTTCTGTTTGGATTTACTTTCATAGCTTTTTTTAGTGTTTGGATACGACTACAAGGCAACAGAGGTTATAATCAGGTTTTTTCCTTCCCCTAAATAGACTGCCTTCCTGGTCTCCATCTATACGAAACAGCTGGTGCCAGTGACCTGCCTTCAACCCTTTTCCAGCTTGATGCTGGGCTTAGTTGTTATTAGAGACATAGTATTGACTTTTATTTTTCTTTTATTTAATGATCAATTACAAATTTAATCAAAATAATTGTATCTTTTATTTTTGATGACAGAATTCCATCAAAGAGGCAAGTTAATAATATCTCAGGCTTAAAATTATTTGTGTTTCACAGCAAAAAATATCACCATATTGTTTGTAACCTCTTGATGATTGGTATACAATTCTCCATCCAGGAAGATTTAAAAAGGTGATAATCTGATGGAGCAAGGTCAAATGAGTAAAGTAGATGAAATGAAACTTCCATATTCAGAAAAAAAATTAGAATTTTCAAAATTTTCAGGAAGAAAATCTTTCCATGTGTGACATAAATATTTATCCATTATTTAAACATAAATTGAAACATACCTATTCATAAAAATAGTTACAAATTTTGAATAACAGGCTTTGTTTTATTGCTTACTGTTTAATTAAATATGGTGGCTCAAACAAAATGTGATCAAATTGGCACATTGAAAATGGTTGGTATGAAGTATTCTGAATTTTGAATGTTTGCAGAAAAGCTGTTTTAATGTATGGAAAAAGTTTCAAGAGGAGCCTCACCAAATCTAATTCCTGGAAGAAACAATTCATTTTATACCAAGAGAGTCATTGAAGCTGTCATGAAGAAGGTGAAGAGAAATCCATGAAGAAGCAGAATGAAGATGGTAAAAAAATTGGATTATTTCAGACAGGGTTGCTAGGGGGGGGGTGAAAGAGGATTTAGTGCTAAAACCATACAAGATTCAACAACAACAACAACAACAGCTGCTCTCAGGTAACTCCAACCAAAAATGGGTTGGCAGGAAAAACCAGTAATCATCAGAACACATTTCAAGTGCTAGAAACCAACCGGCATCATGTCTTGGCCTGATGTTGCTTTTGATGGTTTGAAATCACCCTTTGGTATTCATTGATGAAGGAATTAAAGTGAACAGCAGAGTTTACCAGCAAATGTTGGAGAGGGATGTGTTACTCTGGTTGTCAGTTTCATTTGGAAGTCACTATGTTTTCATGCAAGATGGAACTCCCACACACAGCCAATTTGAGGCAGAGCTGGTGCAAGAGACATTTCCATAGATTTTTGGGCAAGACAATTTGGCCTTGATCAAGACCTGACATTAATTCTATGGCCTAGAGTCGGTCAGTTTGGCAATTTATATTCCGGTATCAGTTTCCAGTATTTTTTTCCTTGATATTGTGGTTTTCAATTCGTTTTTTTTTTTTGTTTCTAACTTAGTATTTTTGCTTTCTAAGGAAGCCATTCATTCTAATGCGTAATGATAGCATTTCCAGTTGATATCTGATTTTGTTTCGCAGTACCTTGCTAGCTGTCTTTAACAAAACTTGTGTGTGTGTGTGTGCGTGTATATATATATATATATATATATATATAAAAATATATCAGGATCACAGAATCATGCTAAAAATAATATATCAAATAATTGAATATAAGCTTAACACTAAGCGATATAATAATATTAAGTGGTACTAAAAACAAAAATAATACTTACAAGAACAAATTATCCATGACATAATTGTAATCTTTTCTTCCTCGATCCGGAAGAAAACAACCAGAAAATACAATAATAGCATTGAGATCTTCTCCCATGTAGCCTATAATAAAAAAGAAAGAAAGAAAGAAAGCAATACAAGTTAAACATGCAATCATAAGCAGTTGTATTATTTTGATTAATTATACATCAATCTGTTCTATGCTATGACAAGCAATATCAACAAAGCATATATGTCTTTCATTGTGCCAGATTTTAATTAGTATACAAGATTTCTTGACACAACTTCTATGGATCATGCAGTAACATTGATAAAATTATCATTTCTGTTGTAAGAAAGACTCGTTATTGTCTTTAATGAATATGTGATGGGATTGCCAAACAAATTCATTATTTGTATCCCTTTGAGCTAAATCCATGACAACACAATGCCACATTCTACTCTCCAGATTATCAACTCAAGAGATAATTTCAACATGGAACAAATACATTAGAAAGCATTTCCATGACAACAGAGAAGAGAAACCTACAATACATCAAATAAAACCGTGGAATGACCTGCAATATTCAGATTTGAGGTCAGATTGACACTGTCCAAGATGAACAGAAGCAAAGCAGCAGGATGAGATTTTATTCTAATAGAAATACCAACAGCCTTTCAGGATTTCATTTTTGACAAAATTACTGAAGTAGTAAATGGAATATTTAGTAGAAGCAAAATACTGGAAGATCTATTTTTATAGCAATGCCAAAAATGTTATGAGCAAATGAATGTGAACTCCATCAGACAAGCTTCTGAGTGAGCCACAGAACTAAATTTATCATTAGGAGTTTAATGAACAGGGCACATATTAGACCAGAAATATGGCAAGAAGAGTGTGGCTTTGTTCAAAACACTGTAACAAGAAATGCTATTTTTATGATCAGAATGTTATCAAAGTGAGCAATATAAATGCAGAAAGACATATACCTGTGTTCCATATTGGAGAGTAATTGGTCATAGTTAAATATAATTGGTAGAAATGTCCAACAAACAGAATTGACAAAGTTTGCAATAAACAACAGAGAAAGAAAAGTACACGAGAAAATAAATTTGAACAAACGATATATGCAAGACAAAGCAACCGAAACAAAGCAACAGTAATAAGGCAAAAAGTTCAGAAACTAAGAATGGTGTTAACACACAAAAAGAGATATGGACAAGTGACTGCAGTGTTCTGATTTCAAGACAAGAAAGAACAGAACCAAGTCAGATGAGACAGAAAAGTGGCCTATATTATTGGTTAAGAAGAAATCCCAGCATGCATCTGTATGTTTTTACAGTCATTCCACACAGGATTGGAACCAACAGTCTGAATTTCTTGGATGAGGAATAAGGAATTATTTGTAGGCAGACTATTGTCCTTATCTTTGTTATTGTTATCACAATGTTTCTGCCATTGTTCCCTATGACATTCATCAGGTGTATGTCGATCTGAATACGCTACAGGGAATTTAGAACTGAACCCTTTATTTGATCAATGGGGTAGATAGTTCTTGTTCTACTGAACATGTTTAAGGATATCTTGTCATGTTCTTATTTAGTACTAATCAGTTATTGCTTACTTCGTTTCCAGTGAGTCCAAGTACACACTCCCCAGCCAGTAACTTACAATTACTAGGTCACCAAATTTATGAACCAACACTTTAATCTACTAGTGGATTAAATATAATCTATACTGTAGTAGATTTGATTTAATCTATTTAGGGGTGGGGGTATTAAATAAAGGGTTCAGTTCAAAATTCCTTGTAGGTTACATGGATCAACATACACCTGATGAAGGCCGGAGAACACAACAGCCAAAACGTTGTGATAACAACAAGATGAGGACAACAGTCCACATGTAAATGTCATATACCTATGTTTTATAGGTTACACAAAAGCATTTCACAAAGTACAATACAAAGTCTGACTTGAAATTCTAGGAAAGCTTGATTTATATGGGAGAGATATTAAAATAATACATAACTTTTATTGGCAGCAAAGTGCCTACATGTGGATAGGAAATGAGTTAAGCAAAAGTATATAACAATAGAAAGAAGAGTAAAATGAGGATGTGTTTTCTTAGTGGGTTTATTTAATCTATACACTGAGACAATCCTAAGAGAATAAAAAGACTAATAAGGATTTATATTGACATGATATATGCAGATGACATTGTTCTGATGGTAGACTCAGAAGGAAAAGTGCAAGAATTCCTTAACAGTCTAGTGAAGGAAAGCTGAAAGGAAGGTCTAAACATTACTTATAAAAAAAAAAAGACAGAATGTATGGTTGTCAGTAAGAGAAGCCGCCAAAGATGTGAACTATGAATTGTAGACATCAGAATCAAGCAGGAACAGAAATTTAACTATTTGGGTAATAACAGATGACAGAAAAGTGTGACAGAGATTTAAAGGCACATTACAATAATGAAAGATGTCTTCTAGAAACTAAAAATATTAACAGATAGAATTTCTTTAGAAATGGAGTAAAGAATACTGAACTGGTATGTAATATTTAATTATCCTATATGACAGTAAATACTGTATAATCTTTTTTCAGATGAAGATACTCAAAGTGACAGATATTGAGGATACTATGAACTTTGAACATTTCAGAAATAAGGTGCTTTAAAACAATGAAAACTAGAAGGACACTTATACATATAATCAAAGAGAGAGTGACTGGATGGCAGAGCAGAGGTAGAGGGATGATAAAAGAGTCAAACTTTGCTTAGTGTTACAAGCGACAAGAGGTTGTGGAAAACCATGATTGCATATGCCCTGAGGGGATATGGCATATAAAGGAAAAATATCTGGTAGTAGTATAAACAAAGAACATCAATATCTGACCTCATAAACTTTTACACAAAGCACTGCATCTGTGTACTGGGAACAAAATCACGTATGCTGAGAAAAAAATTGTGCTATCAAAATTTGACAACACTGTAAAAATTTAGTCAAAACTTTGAAATAATGGAGGGGTTTAGGTTATTCCCTAGTTCAATGTGATAGCCACTACACATGTCTACAAAGATACTCAAACATCCTTCTTAATTGCTCTTGTTCCCAGGTTCACTCTGACCTGGTGGGATAGCACTTGCTATGGGCAAATGATAACCCACCCACAATAAAGATCAAAACACTGGGAAAGTATAAAAATACATTTTTATAGAAAAATACCAGCAATACATTTTATAGTAAAATTGAAGACATGGGTACATTGTTGAAATATAAAAAAATTAAAAATAATTTGTTATGATTAATCTTGTTTGTTGTAAGGAGAAACAAATTTTCACTCTTTGTTTGATTTTGTAAGATTATTTGGCATTAAATGACTACAGAGGTGATGTTATGTGGCTAAACAAAACCAACCAAACCAACCGCCCACCCTAAAATTAAAAAAATGCAACTAAGTAATTATAATGTAATCCTGAAATAATTCTCTTGAATTGATTATAAAGTTTGAATTTTTATATTTAGATTTTGGCATTAAATGACCCACAGATGTATTGATATGCCACTAAACAAAAACAACCAAACCAATCAAACATATACTGTTAAATTTATAATATACATAATCATAGAAATAAATGACATTAAAAGAAATTTTGTGAGATGGCATGTTTAAAAGATTTACCTGTTTGTGTTTATAATTTCAATTTTTATAAACTGAATTTTTTTTTTATAAAACATTGATATACATATATATATATATATATACACAAAAACATACAGACAAGAGAAAAGGAGGTGCTGAATGGATAATTTATTTGCTTTTGGCTGACAGGAATAAAAGTATTGTTAAAAATAAAAGAAATGATTAAAAGGAGGGAATATAAAAGAAACCCTTTTCAGTGTTTCTAACTTTATTACCTCCATGAGATAAAACTTTCTTGTAGGGTTCCACCACTTTCATATCAATACGGAACTGTTTGTCTCCAATCCACACTGCTTTCCAATGTTTTGAGTCTGCCCTTTCCTCTTCAGCAGTGTATTCAGGGATAGCACTTGGGGACTCCAAAGGAGTTTCACCTGTCAATGCATAGAATTATAATAAGAGTTTGATACAAAAATATTTGTAGCAATTATAATGTTAAAGTTGTGTATAAACAAAATAATATTTACAGCAAATGTTATCATTTCTAATTTTCTGTTAAATCTTTACAGGAAAAACTAAAAGAAAAATCTAGCCAAAAGTATAAGTATACAGAAATAAATTCTTTATAAATAAAAAAAACTCCATGTACTTATCAATGTTAATACTAATAAAAAAAACTAATTCTAACACAGCAGCTCAGAAAGCAGATGTGATAAGGAGGTTCATTTTTAGTTTATGACATATAGCATTTTCATATTGAAGTTTAAAGTTTGTCAATACATATTCATTGGATTTACAAAAATTTATAATGTATTTGGATCATTGTTGAAAGTTTGGAAAGGAAGTTTTTACATTGTACAATTAAGAACATATCTTCCCAATTGTCTTGTTTAATCTACTGTACACATTATTATTGTTCATGTGTTATGTGTTGGCAACAATTAAGTTAAAAGAATAGAAACTAGTAATAATAACATTGATAGACATAAAAAGAATGACTTATTTTTTGGGATTAAGCAATGGTAGATTTCATGTTTATCTATGTACAAATATGTTTTTTTTTTCACTCAAAGAAGAAAAGAGAATTTTGATGAGTCAATGTTGGTTTATGTCTGAATGCTTGAGACAAAGAATCATATCTTCATCTTGGTTGTTATAATTACAACATTTCACCAATTATACTTTGCAGCCTTCTTCAGATGTCTTTTGTATTTAATAAACCTTTTAAGAATTTTGATATGAATTCTTCATTCAATCCATTAGAATAAACAGTTCTCACATTTAACTTCCCATTCCATATTAGGAGAGATCTCTTATTAGTTAATCCATCCATAGGATACTGTTTCTGGTTTGGTCCAATAATTCAGAATGCATATGGATTTCACTGCCTGATCTAAGGATTGAACCCACAGCTATTAGACAAATGGCATAAACTGTACCAATGCTTACATCCACTACATCATTTTACAGCTAGATACCCATTCTACAGCCAATGACTACAAAAATCCAAGCTATTAAACCAAACGTAGGTTAACAAGAGTGTCTATATAAGCTGTAGATGTGTTTTTTTTGGGCGGTGGGGATTATCACTACTTTTTATAATCAGAAACATATTCTGCTACTCAAAAAGTTAAGAAAAGTGTGATTGTAAACTGTTATGGACTCTCCCAGCTATAAATAGGAGCAGGTACTGCCTTTTGGAGAGGATAGTTTCCAGCAGTCAGCTCTGACAGTCAGACTGAATATTCTTGCTGTAACACTCTCGTTTGCATATGTTTGTATTACTGTTTTCTGTTAATATATTTGTTTAACTCAATTCCTCTCTTTGTGTCTTTATTTCTGGCCCTTACAAGACCACGACATAAACAAAAAGAACTAATAATAATTGGTTGATAACATCTTCTTGAATAAAATTTGAGAACACCTGATAACACCAAGATTAATTTTGATTTTCATAAAGTAAACTTTACCTATGAATTTTCTGAATAAGAATATTGAAAAAATGTAAAATGTCAAACTTTTACAACAATAATTTTCAAAATAATGTCCATTTAACCTTTGAAACAACAACAACAAAAAAGAGTAGTTAATGTAACCCTATCAGAATATTGTATATAATAATCTTCAAAAGTTTCCAAGACATTCAAAAAGCAATTTTCCTATTAAAATTTCATGTGAAATCAAAAAAATGTTCTAATGTCATTAGTCAATTTAATAGTTCAAGATTATTTACTTCTTTCTCTATTTTTCTGAACCAAATTTGAAAAAATGTCCACTTTATTGCCTATAGGAACTGAACTTTCAAACACAATGACACATGGCATTGGTCAATTTTGGCTTTTTTTATTTCAGACTTTCTATCTGGTCACCCATGTTTTAAACAACACCTGTTGTTGTAGTAGTAGTAGTAGTAGTGGTGGTGGTGGTGGTGGTGGTGATGATGATGATGATGATGAATAAATCAATGAATAGTATTTCAAGGAAACCTATTCTTTTGTCACTTCTTACCAAAGTTATTTTCTTCTCCTGACACAAAATTACAGATTAGTTAACATTTGTGTGTGTGTATGTATTGACACAAGGAAAATGAAATCACACATTGAGAGCAATATTATTTTTGTGAGAAATCATTTGGTTCATATGCTAGCAATAGAAGATTGGAATGAAAGAATATTACTTACAAACCAATATTCTTTCATTCCAATCTTCTATTGAGGTAGCATGCAATAAAAAAGATCAATATATATATATATATATATATATATATATATATATATATATATATATAAAAGAATTTATGAATTTTGTATTTATTAACCTGGCATATTATTACTTTAAACATTATATTTAGTGGATACCCATATTAGATGCTCTGTTATCTTAAAGAGCATTTTATTTCATCTACTGGACTAAATATTCTAGAAATCTTATTAAAGAAATTACAACCAATGTCCCCTTTTACATTTTGTAGAGGGCGCATTTTTCTTTAATAAAATTTCTCAAATGGTCAGGCCAGTACAAGAAATAAAACAGTGTTCAACAAAAAATAACAATTTAAATAATAATAATAATAATAATAATATATATATGTGTGTGTGCGTGTGTGTGTGTGTGTATATATTTTCTGTTTATACATTATTTTTATAGATACAATGTATTTAAGTAAATGCCCTGTTTTTAATTAAACAATATTAATTACATTTAGCAGCCTGAATATTCAAGAAATTTCATAGAAAATATGCATTCTCCAACAGGAACTGAACCTGTATTCCTATATGGAAGCTGTCATTTGACCTGACATGCAGTACCATTCAGCTACAGAGAAGCGTCTGGTTAGCAAAGTCTGAATTACTGTTTATAAACACATGATCTTTGACAATTTTCTCGATCAAACATTTCTGCTCACAAAGCATATCTTAATGTAAACAATGACAGCATATAATTAAATGAATTAAGTCCAACATTTTATTTATATATATATATATATATATATATATATATAAAATAAAAGATTTGCACTTATAATTTCTGATTCTATCAGCAAATATCTTAAACTTACTCTCCCAATCAATTTCTTCTAAATCTTCCACATCAACTTCTTCAGGCGTGTCAAGGTCCTCTGGTGTCTGTAGATCATCTATGTTGCCCAGCATGTTTTCCCCTGGGGGAGAACCACTTTCTCCATCCAGATCCTCATCTTTGAAGAAATCACCCACATTTGGTTTAATTTTCTTCTTCGGACGAATTGGTTGTAGTGTGGACGGTCGTACTGAAATTAATAAAACAATAATTAGTCTATGAAAATTAAATTCAGAAAAATTGCTATAGCTAATAAAAAGAGCTAATACTTTATTAGCTATGAAGTTAGGGTGAAAAACAGTTTCCTTTTTAATATTTCTGGGTTCAATAATCTCAATTTTCTTATAACATTTTAATTCTTCATAAATTATCACCATATGACATAATCTGCCTTATTGTTAAATTCACTTTTGGATACACAATTCAAGTATATTTTATGAAAAAAATTCATCTAAATTAAAATCAATATATGTACAGTTCACAGGATGATAAGTAATCTCTCATTACAAGTAAATTAAAAGTTACTTCCCTTTTTGTGCTTTTTCTTGTGGTTCCTTATTTTAAGCTGGTTTGTAGCAACATTAAATGTATATTGTATTGATGTCATTTTCAATAGCTGACAGCATAAATTAAGAATGAATGACAACTATGTTGGTCATGTAACAATATCAAGATTTTATTTTTTGTAACTGACAAAATTCTAATTTACACTATTTATATTGTTTGGACTTTTGTCTTCATCTTTATTGCCATATTAACAATGTTTCAGTTGTTGTATACTCTGGCCTTCTTCAGGTGATATATATTGGAATTTCAAACAAACCCCTACTTTAGTTCATGGTGGTAGATTATCCTGATGTCTTTTTTGGATATTGTTGTTTCAATTAATTCCCTTTAGTAACACAACTCTCCAGATTTTTGTTCCCTCTGCTATGGCCAGGTACTGAACTCACAACTCTTTGGGTCAAGTCACTTTTTTTGGGGTCAAATCACTTTTTGAATAATTCAATCAATGCTTCTATCCACTGGGCCATATCCCTTCATCAGATCTGGTAGTACAGAATCACAAACAACTTTAAAAAATAACAAAAACCACATCATTTGAAAACTTCCAACAGTGGCAACAACTAAAATGGATAGCACATACAAGTAGAAGGGAAAATAATAATATAATCAATATGTTGACTTTGCACACTGCATTAAACGTTAGGAAGGAAACTCATTAATACTAGAAAGAGTGATAACAGTTGAAAAGCTTATTTTCCTGAAAAATTGTGTTAAGAGAAAAATTTTATAAATATCAACTGTCAATAATGCTGTTTGTTAAATGTATGCCAAATGTTTCCTGTATGGAAATGGTTAATCTTTCCATTACCATTATCAACCATTAATTTTGACTAGTATTTCCTTTCATCTTAATTGTTTTTACTTGCTTTTTGTTGCACTTTTACTCAGGTCCTCAATGTATGTTAATGAGTTGATGGTGTAAATCAGAAATAAAGGATAATCTCAGTATCCTTTATTTTCTATTTGCTTCAATTTACTTATAGCCTAAGTAAAGTTATGATAAAAAGCATCTTAAAAGTCTTTCCTGAAAAGAGGAAACCTATCAGCTACCAAGGTGTTGTGTTGACAAAAGAATTACTTACCTTAAATTTATCTATTTATTTCAGGTTATTTATATTCAAACAAAATTACGTAAAATATGTTAAATGTTTGATATTATTTTCCCTCCCTTGTAAAAATGAAAGTAGTGATTTGTAGTGAAAGATAAAGGTTCCATTATTTACCCAAACTTGGAGATGGGTTTCACTCACCAATTGTTTCATTTGATTGTTTTATTATCCTTCATTGAATTACTGAAAGCAACAAACTCATTTTTCAATTACATTTCTGAAGATGCACCTTCTCGACTAATTCAGGATTATGATGAGTATTACATCTTATTTCATAATTTAGGACAATGTATTAGGAACTTTTAATCAAATGACTTTATAAATCAATCAAAATTAATTTGCTTTATGATTCTTTCATATTTTTCATTATATATACAGAAAATATTACAAACAGAGAAAAGAAAATGAATTGAAAAATAGTGTTTTTTTTTTACTTTGTATTCTCTAACACTTCATAATCCCTTATGTTTTAGTGGCTTTATTACCTTACTTGGGGTGAAATGATTTAAAAAAAAAAAGAATTAAATTGCAAAGGGGGTAAAATGTGTTATTTAAGGGAAAGATAACTAGAAAAAGATGACATCTGAATCTCAAAATTCACTACTTTCTTGTTTGCCTGCTTGCATTTCTCTCATTTTTTTCTCTCTAAAAAGGTGGGAAAATTAAGAGTGATTAATACTGTGGGATACAATGCATATAAGGCTAAAAATATACATGAAAGGCTGAAGACAAGACAATTAAAATTTGATTTCATTTGTGGAGGATTTTGCTTATCCGTTATGATTTTATGTTCAAACTGTTCATACATGTAAATAAAAATATACCTAACTTTTTAGCATGTATTTTATTGTGAACTTTTTTCAAGTAATATTTTTATGAAAATACCAGATAAAAGAAGTTAAATTATGACATTGAATAACAAAAAAAAAGTTCTTTTAAAACCTTTAGCACTCTACATTATAAATATTACTTCCTTTCCACTGCATTCTTTTTCAGTGCCTGTCAATTGCAGTATCCTTATTATTAATTTCACTCAAAGTTGTTTTCTGTTGCCATAGCAGGATATGACAACACAACTATGAAATTCAAACACACTATTGTTCAGGGATCTTCAATACCTTCAATAGTAGGATAAATTTTTTGTAAAGCAAATGAAGTCACATACAGAGTGATAAAGGTTAAAAATATTTATTTCTGCTTGATTGCAATAAATATTAAACAATAAAATCATCATGCAGAGGTTAATGTCACTTACTCAGTTATGGAGATGTGATTTTTGCAAAGTTAATATTGAAAATATATAAGTAGATTTTATTTTCTGTTAATTTAAGAAAAGATTTTAATATGATAAAATTTGAAATCCCTTTTCATCCAAATATTATTCATAACAAAAACAATGAAAACATGTAATAAATCTGATGTTTTTGTTAGTGACTGGAAAAAATTAATTTTATTGATCAATACTAGATTCAGCACATTCAATGTTTTCTAATTCATTTGTGCCCCCACCCCATGTTGGACAAGTGAACAGAACTGCTTGGTAAGATATTTTAAACTAATGCAAAATTGATCATATAATATTCAGGAAAAGAAATTCAGAGAATTATGTAATGAAGGTACCAATTTATCTAAGTTATTATTTACATGCAGACTGTTGTCCTCATCTTTGTTGTTATTATCACAATGTTTTGGCCATTGTACCCTCTGGCATTTATCAGGTACTTGTTGATCCAGGTAATCATCAGAGAATTTCAAACTGAACTTTTTATTTAATCTATGGGGGTAGATTGTTCTCATTTGGTTTTTATTTAGTCATTCAGTTATTGCTAGCTCCATTTTTACTGAGTTCAAGTGTACACTGCCCAGTCCAGGGATTGAACTCACAATTACTATGCTCTCAAAATCATGAACCAATACTTTAATTCACAAAGCTATTGTATCATGGGCTCAGTAGAAATGAGGCAAATCAATAAGCAAGCAATACCAAATAAAAACTAGATGAGATATCCCTAGACAGGTTGAGGGGAATGAGAACAATCCATCCTGTAGATTAAATAAAAGGTTCAGTTTGAAATTTGCTGAAGGTTAACCAGATCAAGAAACACCTATGAAGACCTGGAGTAAATAATGTAAATAATGATAACTCCTCATCCTAGAATTTCAGACAGAAATTATCTGAATCATTTTTAAGTCAAGGAAAATTAGAGTGAAAAAGAAAGAAAAAAAAGAAAAAACAAACTGTTAATGAATGAAAGGTGAAATGGCAAACTAGAGATCAATATCCTTCTTTTCTGGCAAACTATCACCTGAGAACCTGATTTTGGTTATCAGCATCTTACAGACATCACAGCAGAAATGTGAATATTTGTTATGCTGCTGAGAGAATAATACAATTTAGAAGAGAGTGAAATTGAGATTTTACATATCTGAATATTTATATTCAAAGGATAACACTGTTTTCTAAGTATTAGACAGAACACATATTTTGATTTGAAATAAGAGGTTTCCATCTTATGATTTTATATTAAGTAGACTAACCAACCTGACACTTGAAAGTGAATCTTTAACTGAAACTACTTACCCAGATACATATGAATATATTTCTTCTATCATTAAAGCCTTACTCTCCCAAACTATGTTCTGCTATCCATTTACTTGCAAGGTAGGTTATATGTTATTTTCCTTTGTCCCTCTTGCTTTCAATCTGTCTTGAGAGTATAAAAATTTCTAAGTCCTCTTTCCTCATTATGTGCTCTAGGAATTTAAACTATCTTTTCCTGATGTTAAGTATAAGTGTCCTTTTTGTTTTCATTTACTCTAAAACTTTGTCATTGTTTACATGTTTGGTCCATGGTATCCTCGGCATCCTTCAGTAGAACCACATTTCTCTTGCTTTGAGTCTCTGTTTCATCTGTGAGGAAATTTTCCAGCATTAACTGCCATATAAAAGGACTGATATTACATAACAGTTCAGTACTCTTTTCTTTGTTTCTAACAAAATAAATTTTTGTTTCTTAATACTATGTTACTGATGATAAAAAACACTAAACTATAAGGATGAATATCTTGGTGTGTTTACCATTATTCTTACAGACATTTCAGCTGGTCTGAGTTAAAGATGAGCAAGATTTAGTCTATTCAAGAATTCAAGTTTAAAACTTACTTTTTGTCTTTCTAACATTTGTTAATTCAAATGATTTGATCAATACAAGGGTCATACACTAAAACTGATTGAAATTTGTCCTGGTATGTTTAAAAAGGAGCAAAGATACATATCTACATAGACATGTTTTTTTTGCTGAGGCAGAACTGGGATTAATCTTGTACAAAGCAAGGTGGCTCCTGCCTGATAAAGGATTTGTCATAATGATTTGAGGCAAGGTTTTACAAGAACAGATGCTTTTCCTGAAGCCCAACTCAGACACTTATGGTGGCCCAAGTACACCAAGTTTTTTTTACTGAGACACCATCTGTAGGAAGGTTGACATTCAAGGCTTGAGAACCTATCCTAGCTTATATATATATATATATATATATATATATATACACACACACACACACATATTCAAACATGTATTGTTAAATATAACAGACAACGAATGTTTTGATCATGAGCCATCGTCAGCTTCATATAGTGGCTTTAGTTTCAGTTTTTGTCTTTATTTTCTCCTGAAGCTAAAGCCATTACATGAAGCTTAGAACAGTACATGACCAAACATAATAGATTCATTGTCTGTTAAATTTAACAATATATGTTTGAATAATGATTTACTGCCTCAATACACTATATATATATATATATATATATATATATATATATATATAGGCTTCTATATGAAGCTTATCCAAGCTTTGACAGGTCTTGTTTTTCATCCTTTGGGCTGGCATGCCACTCTCCTGACCAGCAAAAAAGATAGCGAGAGAGTTGGTTTAGATACCAACTACCTGTTCATGTGGCAGGTTGTACTGAGTTACATGTTACCAGTAGCAGGCCTGACCAATACACACCTTCTTTAATGGAGATTAACAAATATTTGTATTATATATATTTAGACATGTAACTTTTTAATTAAGTCAATACAAAAACTTCAAAACATGTGGTTTTTGAGCAATTTCTGCTGGGTTTTCACTGATCATGAATACTTTATAAAAGAATGCAAACTTTTAACTATGTTCCAGTCTTGTTTAATCTTAAGTGAATTAACAAAAAATATGAAAGTGATGTAGTGATATCAGTATCAGCCAATATCTTGCTAAATGGAAAATTTCTGAGCTGTCACAAAAATTTGTTTCAGACATTTATTTGCCCTGATGATTATCAGCTAAGTGAAGTGATCCTCAAAAGGATCATGACAAACCATTCAGGCAAATAAGGTCACTGAATGAAGATAAATTACTTTTCTAGATAAAAATCACAAGACAAAGAACAATGTTCTCTATAAGACAGTGCTCACTACCCACAAAAAATGCAGAGAGATGAAGAGGACCCACAGAAAGTGACAAGAAGACCGAGCTCACAGCAACATGAAAGGGAAGACACCTGTTAGACTGTTCACTTCCCAGTCGCCTTGCTAAATCTCTGCTTCACTCATCTGTAGCAGTAGGTTACAACCAGAGATTAAAATCTGATTACAGCTACAAAAGTTTTGTGTTTTAATTCATGGGTGATGACCTTGCCAAAGCTTTATTTTTAAACCACAAGCATTTGACTGTAAGAAGCTGCATCTGAGAACAAACCTGGTGTCTGGTCTGAGCTGCAATGCTACACTATATTAAATTGTGGCATTTAATAATGAAGTCTGTTTAAAGATTATTATGAGTGTTATACACCAATTCTTGTTGCAGATGAAGATTTTTTTTTTTTTCATGAACTTACCAGCACGGTTTTCCTCTTCTTTCGATAGTGGTGTTTCCTCATGATTTTCATTTGTAATACCATTATTCTGTTGCACTTGATGATTTTCCATCTTGTCTGAAGATGAGGAAGAGGACCTATCAGCTTTTCTTTCAGGTGGGACTATATTTCTGACACTAGACAATGATGTGTCAGAAGCAACAGGTTTCTCTTCATTGTGCAACACTTCTCCAGAGAGGGTGATTCGCTTCATATCCTGAAATTCACAAATGCCAATATTATAAAGAAAGGTAAAATGAAAGAAACAATGGTGCAGACAATGAAAAAGATTGAAGAGTGGTAAGAGGGGCAAAAACAAATGTGTGTGAGAGAGAGAGAGAGAGAGAATAATTTAAAAAAAAGAAAAAATGTAATAGAAAAAAGGAAAAAGATTATGAGATGAATTCTAATATGCAACAAGTGAATAAAACAAACAATAATTTCCATAAATTTAAGTATTTAGTTATTGATCAGATAACACCCCTTTATTCTAACTTCTACCCATGAGTAGGGGTAAGTGTCGCTGTTACTCTACCAATTTGATTTGAGAAAACATGAAAAGTTAAGTTCATGCTGCTAAGTTGCAAACTTACTTTCAATCAATATCAGTTTTTCTGCAAATGACAAATTCAAATACCATTTGCTAATGTACGAGAGTGAATTATATTAGAGACTTTGAAATGGTAAGATAAAGAACAAATAGGAAACTATTTACATCATTTGAACTAATTGCCATATTCACAATGTTGTATGCTCTGACCTTCTTCAGGTGATATCTGTTGGAATTTTAAACCAAACCCTTTATTTAGTCGACAGAGGTAGATTGTTCAAATTCCACATGCCTTTTTTTGAACAGTCTACCCCTATGGATTAAATAAAACGTTCGGTTAGAAATTTCAACATATATCACCTGAAGAAGGTCAGAGCAATGTGAATATGACAATAAAGATGAGATCAACAGTCCAAATGATGTAAATAGTTGCAGTGCCTTATCTCAGAACTATGGAGAGATAAATAGGAGACATTCATCAATCATGTTTCACTTTTATTAAAGCTTCATCAGAGAATGAGATATGGAGAAAAAAAAGGAAGAAATTTTGGTATTTTTTACTTTTGTGTTGTTTGAATTTCATTGTTTAATTATGTTTCATGTTTATGTTGTTGAACCAAAGTTAGTATAATTTGTAGTGTTCAGGATTCAAAGAGCATCTATTTGAAGTTTCAAGAAGCTAATTTTGAAATATATAGATACACAAAAGTGCACATGCAATGAAATATAATGTTAATAATGATGATGCACTATCACTTCAAAACTGCTGATGAGATTTTGATTAGAAAAAACCTTTAGACACTGAAAATTTACAATCAGTGAAATTAACATCTACCAACTTAGATTGTCAAAACTAGGTACATTTTCTTTAATAAAGGCTTTTGATGACCTCAGCCATACACTGATAATTGTAAATAAGAAAGAGGTTAAAATTAAGGTGTGTGATATTAATGTCCTTCAAAGTCAGAATAACTAAATAATGACAATTAGTAAAATTATTACAAAAGATGATGTAGAGTAATTGGCCATGGTTAAATGTAATTGGTAGAAATGCCCAACAAACAGAATTGACAAAGCTTGCAAGAAACAATCATGAAAAGAAAAGGGCAAAAATAATATTGAGCAAACAATATATGCAAGGCAAAGCAACAGAAACAAGACAAAAAGTTCGCAAACTAAGAATGGTGTTAACATAGAAAAGGGGATACAGACAAGTAATTGCAGTGTTCTCGCTTCAAAACAAAAATGAACAGAACTTTAAAGTTGAAATGACTAAATGGAACCGTAAGTTCTATGCCAACAGTTTCTTCTATTGCACTTCTCACTTGTGGAAATCTCTTCCAGCTTCTTGCTTCCCAGTTAACTTTAATCTTCAAAAATTTAAATGCAATATCAATTGTTATCTTCTGTCTTCTTAATTATCATTCTTTTAATTGTCTTCTCTCCTTAATAGTAGTTTGTCTCATACTCTGTAACACTCAGTAACCTCTTGTGTCCTAGTGGCTTTATTGCCTTTCTTGGGGTGAAATGATAAAAAAAACAAAAAAAACAAACTAAGTCAGATGAGACCAAGAAGTGGCCTATCTTATTGGCTATGAAAAAAATCACAGTATGCATTTGTGTGTTTTGTCTATAAATTTGAGGAGGTGAATTTTTGCAGCCACTCCTCCTGTGGATTGGAACCAAGAAATGAAATAATGATAATCAGAGAAAATTCAGGTATGTATTGACCAGAAAAATTAATTTACTCGGTGCCAGACCAATAGGATGATACAACACCTAACAACCTTGAGGTTTACAACACAAAAATGGTTTATTAACAGAAGGAACAAATTGAAGAGAAAGTGTCATACATAGTAATGATAATAATACAAAAAGGGAAGTAATCCAGGTTGCCTAAGACTCCAAGGGGAGTAATCCAGTCTAGCAATTGACTGGTACAGTAGAAAAATATTAGCTTGAAAATATATAAATTAAGAATATTTTACAAGAAATCAGTTTCAGGGATTTTAATAAAATTTTGTTTTATTTAGCAGTATAGGTACAGCAGCCATTGAATCTGTGTAATTGGGACAGAGAGGTACTTCCAAAATATTTGGATTATACTTTCAGAATTATGTTGAAGGCCATAACAGTATTGTATCAATTTATACATTTGTACATCTTTCATTATTATGTGATAACTCATTTGTCAAAAGCAAACTTTTCATTTCGTATCTTATGTAGCAGCTTCATTTGCCACACACACACACATATATATATATATATATATATATATATATATATATATATATATATATATATATATTAAACATAGAGAGAAAGCTACAAATATATATTTCATTAGCATAATGAAATTTGTTTCTATGTATAAATAGAAACATATTAGGTTATCCCATACAAATATTGTATTTTGATGAAAGAAAAAAACAAATGCACGCACACACACACACACACTCATTCATTTAATCAAAGTGCCTCTCTATTTAAATTTGGATATATAGTCAAGTGGTTAGAACATTCACTTTACAAGCATGAGACCAGAGTTTGAATCTCATCATGTCAGGTTTGTCAGGAAGGGCACTTCTTGATATTATTTTTAAAATTTTTTTTACAATGATGCTCACCCTGTACAAGGCCCAAGAACCACTGAGGGAGAGGATTACAGAGTAAGAGGCACCATCCAAACAAAGGTGATAAGGCCATCAAGACACAAGGTGTGTGTGTGTGTGTGTGGTGAGGGTCACCAGAAGTGAAAGAGAAAGATTTTAAAAGGAACCAGAAATCCAATTCTAAACAGGAAACAAGAAATAGACCTCTAATCCTGTTTAAAAGTCTAAGGAGTAGTGTGAATCAGATGATAGGCATACATATCTACTCCTATTGAAGAAAAAAAAAAAAAGTAAAAATTTCAGAGTTTTAGGTAGAGAAGTTAAAAGTATAGAGCTGAAGTAGACTTTAGAAGGAACCAGAAACCTAACCTTAAACAGTAAACAAGGGATAAACCTTCTACTTCTGTTCAAAAGACCGGGGAGTAGTATGAACTGGATAATAGGCAAACCTACCTACTTCTCTGGTGAGGCAATTCCAGTATGAAGCCTCATTTGAAGGTGCCTGGAAACTATAGCATTACTTGGCCTAAGCCTTGTAAGTGAAACTGAGTAGATACAACTATTTTGGAAGCTGCCGATGGTTGTGCAAGGAAACAAGTAACCGTCCATTACTTTTACTTCATTAAAATATGTTTTGTTTTCTTTTTCCAATATGAATCTAAGCTGCTTATCAGATTTTTAAAAACTCTCATCTTTTGCTTTAATAAAATGTTCAAATGCTTTGATTACTTATTCACTATAAGAGAATCGTTTGTTGTGCATGGAAAGTAAAATGTGTTCAAATAATTGATAATCTGTGGGAGAGATGCCTGATGAATAAGGTGGATGCTCCAAAATCTTCTAACCAAGGCTTTTGTGTAACTTTTGAACATTGGATTGTGAAGTGTGATGGTATGCATTCTCATGGAGCCGGCCATATCTATTCTCTAGTTTAAGCTATTTCTTTTTTATGTGTGAAAAAAATTCCTAGTTCTGAAAGTTTTCTGTCATTTTCAGATTATGATCATTTCTTATGACTGAATTAGGTTTTTGCCTTGGTTCATTTTCAAAGCCCTCATCTCTATATTTCTGACATTAACAATACTACTGTTAAATGTCAAGCTGATGTCTCATTGAAGCTTTGTGGCCAAATCTGAACTTGTATAATAGTCAACATTGTTTAATTGATATCATTTTCTGGAATCTATAAAGAATATTTTTTTATGAAACAACCACCTGAAAACAAAATAGCAGATTAGCAAGAAATAAACCCTAAAATAATGACTTATATCAATAAACTTTTATAAATTTTTAATGAAAAGTCAGCAAACAAAAATATATTTCATATAAGACAATCTAATATCATTAATATACATGTTTCTAACTATGATTTGTACAGGAAAAATAAAGCCTATACTTAAAAATAGTACAATGTAATGGTTAATTGCTTTTAAATGGGCAATGGTTAACAGTCAATTTGGATTCTTATTAATATTAATGATATTTATAATATATGAACATTGACAGAAAGATAAACTTGTGTCTGAATAGATTTATGTACATAGTTTGCCATGATTTTTAAGACAAAGATCCATAAAAGAAGAAAGCTAAGATTGTCAAGATTCAAACTTAAAGTATGACGTTTGAACTTGTCTAACATCTGCCTGAGGAGCAACAATGGATATATTTTGCAAGTCAATGCAAACACAGCATTATCTTCAGAAAAGATGACTGCATATTGCTAAAGAATATTGGCATTCACTGCATGCCTGAATGACATCCAACAGGAAATTAGAAAAGAAATACAATGGACAGGAAAAAGTTTTCAGGTCAATTCATATGGCATAATATAGAAAGGGAGAAATTTATAAAGATTCTGGCAGAAGAAACATCGACTACTGATTGGGCATTGTTGGAGGCAGTACATAAATATAATAAAAATTAATACATGTGTACAAAACTTGCTGATTGTATATTATATAAGAATCAATATGTATTTTGGCATCTTTTGTGAGATTTCTTGAATGATTTAATTCAAGATTTGTGTGTTATTTGAATATTGCCCAAGATTAACCA